TTTTTTTTTTTTTTTTTTTTTTTTTTTTTTTTTTTCCATGTTCCTAGCTTGGATAAGCTGCACACAGCACTGTCAGAGCTTTGCTTCTCCATCAACTACGTACCCAACATGGTGGTCTGGGAGCACACCTTCACCCCACGCGAGTATCTGACCTCCCACCTGGAGATCCGCTTCACCAAGTGAGTCTGTCTTTCCCCTCCTCTTAATAATCAGTTTTAGCTTAAACTTGGCTCGCTTTAGTGGCATGACTGTTTTCTTTACAGCATTGCCAAAGCAAATAAGGCAGTGCAACAGGAAAAAAAGAGTGACAGCTCTGCATACCGTAAAGGGAACGTGTTAGTGACAGGAAGAATGTGATAAAAATATCAACTACCTAAACTGTTCTTCATTTCTTATTTATGACCTTTCCATAAAATGTCTTAACCACAGTATTTAACATTTTGTTGTTAAGCTGAAAAAGAGAGTGGCTGTGAGGAAAGGTAGCATTGTGTGTTTGACAGACATTCAGAACAGTGTATGATATGAATGACAGTGTATGATAAAGACTTGAGACTTGTGTCTCATTACCTGCACACCCTCAGCATGACCAAAAGTTTGCGGACACCCGACCATTACACCCATATGTGGGTCTTCCCCACAAAGGTGGAAGCATCAGATTGTATACAATGTCTTTGTATGCTGTAGCATTACAATTTCCCTTCACTGGAACTAAGAGGCCCAAACCTGTTCCAGCATGACAATGCCCCCGTGCACAAAGTGAGGCCATGAAGACATGGTTTGCCAAGGTTAGAGTGGAAGAACAGATGAACTAGAACACTGACTGCACCCCAGGCCTCCTCACCCAACATCTGTGCCTGACCTCACTAATGCTCTTGCGGCTGAATGAGCACAAATCCACACAGCCACGCTCCAAAATCTAGTGGAAAGCCTTCGTAGAAGAGTGACGGTTATTATAACAGCAAAGGAGGAACTGAATCTGGAATGGGGTGTTTAACAAGCACATATGGGTGTCATGATCAGGTGTCCACAAACTTTTGGCCATATAGTGTATTTGATTATGTGACCTTTCATGGAGAAAACAGATAAAAATTCACAAGTAAAATAGTGAGGTTTTTTTATATAGAAAATGCTGTTGGCGTTTTGAGATCGTGACAGAATGTAGAGACCACACAGATACATGGTTAACTGATGTATCACACATCTAAAATAGGAATAAAGAATAAACTAAGAATGACGTAAGAATCTCCTCCGGTCTGACTCCAGTCTCAGCCTTATCTGTGACATTAAGTAAAGCATGCAGCTCTGTCGAAACAGTGAGGCTCGATGAATCATGTCCCTCTGTGTGCGAGCACCTCTCATACCTCAAAAGGTCACTCATAGCAGTTAAATATAGGCTTTTCCCTCTGTTTACAATGGTATTTTATCATGGTAAAATCAACAATTGCATGTATGTTGCATTAAAATAATATGGTCTTGCTGATTTAATCATATACAATATATCCGACACCTCTTTTTCCATCCTGACATCAGTGATCCTACTTGAAAGAGGTTTTTCTTTGATGATTTACAAGTACACATCCAAGTCCAGCTCATATAAACTTGCATACTTCGACAGCCTGCTAGCCCACGCAGAGTTCTCTCATCTATCCCACTACTCATGTTATCCTGTCCTCACTGTTAATACTGTTTCTGTCTGTTTCTTTTCCTCACAGGGAGGTTTTACTACGTTTTATTTCAGAGAAAAATCAGCTCGCTGTTTAATTAAACCGCGAATTGGAAAATGAGTGTAAAGGGCCCTTTTGGGCTTTATTGTTCCACCTGTGATTTATTGGCGCAGCTGACAGGAGTTTGGGTTAGAGTTGACTTTTGACGTGGCTCCAAATCCGAGCCTTGTCCAAGCACATAAACACGCGCTGAGGAATAACAGGTATTTTCCACTGCGGGGTTCAGAAACTCTGACGCGTTTAGGCTGGCCGTGTCTGTGAACCCTTCTAAATGCTTGTACTTCTCGTCGACGAGGTTCTATTAGCACTGCTCCCTACTACGTCCTCTCCTCGCCTTCCTGTAGGTCATGTTGGGTAAAACGTTTTACTGCAAGCTCCTTTCCCAGATTTCCAGTGCCGGACCCGAGTTTCTCAGTTTTAACACCATCATGGTGATAACCTCACAGTGGCGATGCGATGGCACCAAATTATCTACCTACGTAGGAAGACCAAATTATATTACAGCCATTGTTTAACAAATGTGCATAAGCAAGTATTTGCATGTTTCAAATGTTAGCAAAACCAATATTAAACAGTGGCTTTAAGGGTTATATACCATGTCATTGATTACCCATAACTGATATGTTGTTTATTTACTAAGTCTTAGTACCAGTGAAGCACTGACACACTGTTAACTATTTTATAAGTATTGAATAGTTTATATACTCACTAATTATGCACTGATTGCTAGTTATTTCCATGCCAATGGACTTATAAGTGAGCATTCTCATATAAAGAAGTAACATTGAACTGTAACAATACATACAACATTAGTTCGGTTAAATAAAGGTGTAATAGTCAATATTTTAAATTTCTCACTAGTAAGTGAAGTGTGAAGTGAAGTGAAGTGACTTGTGGCCAAGTACGGTGACCCATACTCGGAATTTGTGCTCTGCATTTAACCCATCCAAGTGCACACACACAGTAGTGAACACACACCTGGAGCAGTGGGCAGCCTTTTTTTGCTGCAGCGCCCGGGGAGCAGTTGGGGGGTCGGTGCCTTGCTCAAGGGTCTCACCTCAGTCGTGGTATTGAGGGTGGGAGAGAGCGCTGGTCATTCACTCCCCCCACCTACAATCCCTGCTGGAACTGAGGCTCGAACCCACAACTTTCAGGTTCACCTTCGGGTTGCAAGTCCGATTCTCTATCCATTAGGCCACTACTGCCCCATAATGTTGAAAATTATGTTGAAATAAAAAATAATAGTTTAAGACACTGTCTCAGAACAAGTGCATTATGAAACTGGGGGGGGGACAGTTTGGAAACCTGTCTCCCAGTCCGGAATGTATGTTTGTATTTGGATTGGCCACTTGTCAGTTGTTTTATAGACACGCCCCCAGCGCCCCTTCACATCCTCATAAATCAATATGAGGAGAAGTTGACTGTTTATAGAGTTGTAACTCGGCTTTCCAGCAGCTGAATGTCCGAGTGCACTTGAAAGTGATGTCATGACAGTCCTTGCTAATGGTAACGCTGGGGCGGGCTCCATGAGTAAAAAATGGGAGCGGGCTCAATGAGTAAAAAAAAATAATTTGAATCTTATTCAACTCCACCCATTTAATCATTAGAGATTTTTTTGCACAGATCTTATCTAATACACATTCAAACTAATAATCTGGTAATTAGGGTAATGACCTGTACATATGTTTAAATTGGAGACAGCTGTTTGAGCAAATGAATGTGTCTTAAAGAAGGTCCAGCACTGCCTTCCAGCAGATCCGAAGAAAGACATGAGATAATCCACTCGAAAGATTATTAGCTCAGTTAATTATGCTAGTAAGCTTACTTAGTAAATAAGATTGTTACTGTAATAACTAGCAGTGAGTAGATAGTTAATGTGTACAGAATATGAATACATATTTATAAAATCCATTTTTAGCTGTTTGTGAAAGGCAAATATTTTTGGCTTATATTACTGATGAATGGTATGATCTAGTTTTGATGAATATAACTTTGCCAAATTAACTGTTTACATACATATATGTGACTGTGTGTGCCATTTTGTTCACAGTACATGCTACTGATCTTTTATTATTACTCAAATAATATCATCATCTTGATTCTTTCAGGTCCATAGTTGGAATGACCATGTATAACCAGGCCACGCAGGAGATTGCGAAGCCGTCTGAGCTTTTGACCAGTGTGAGAGCCTACATGACAGTGCTGCAGTCCATCGAGAACTATGTCCAGATTGACATAACCAGAGTGTTTAACAACGTGCTGTTGCAGCAGACACAACACCTTGACAGCCATGGAGAGCCAACCATCACCAGCCTCTACACTAACTGGTGAGAAAAACGTACACTTGTACACCATAACTATGCCTGTATGGATAAAACACTCCAAATCTAAGCATTTATTTGTAGTCTAATCTTAACTACTACCTAGATTCTTAAGATTAAAACTGAAGATCAGCTGAAGTGTGTTCCTAACTACTTCATACACGTTGCAAGGCTCAGTTTTGGGACTGATATTGTTCATGCTGAAATTGTGATAACACTGAAGCAACAAGAATAAAAACAAGGGCAAGCGAGGTTTAATGGCAATGGCCCTTACTTCTTTTCATCTGTGAGCAAAAAGAGGAGTTGGGATGGGGAATAAGTCCCCATCTAGCCAAACAGCTGGCCGATGAAAAGATATTTCTTCTGTGATTACAATCATTTGAGTCTATAAATGTATACAAATAGTTTTACAATTAAGATTCTGAATCTGTAACATCAATAAAGACTGTGTGCCATGTTGAAGGTGTGCTGACTCTTCTCACAGGTATCTGGAGACTTTGCTTCGGCAGGTGAGCAACGGCCACATAGCTTACTTCCCTGCCATGAAAGCCTTCGTCAATCTCCCGACTGAGAACGAGCTCACCTTCAATGCCGAGGAGTATTCCGACATTTCTGGTAACCTCTCCAAAATGGTCCACCCAACACTGCTAATGTTACCAATAATCTTAAAGATTCTTTTTTTTTTTTTTTTTTTAAGTATTTTTGTGTAAAGTATTTCATGAATCAAGTGTCAGGAGATGTGTCATTTTGGTGTTTTGCTTTTGGTGATGATCTGAAATGTCTGTCTTCTGTCTGTAATTCAGAAATGCGGTCGCTTTCGGAGCTTCTGGGTCCATATGGAATGAAGTTCCTCAGTGAGAGCCTGATGTGGCACATCTCCTCCCAGGTGGCTGAGCTCAAGGTGAGGAGGTCATCAGTGGTGAAGCTGATGGAGATTTTAGAAGTGTCTTGGTTATTAATGTGTCTCACGGGGGTGTCCCTACGTCATGTTTAGGTGTTGTCAGGTATTAATGCTCTTAAAAGTGCTTCAGTCCACTGACAACAATGCTGCTAGAGGTTATCAATCATGTCAAAGGTGTTCAAAGTGTCTAAGTATTACAGGTCAGGACAAGGTGTTCTCAGGTAAAATTATTAGGTCATGTTGAAGGGTCCACAGGTTATGTTTAGGTGTCTCTGAGAATTAAAGGATATTCTAGGCCAAGGTTTGGTGTCCTAAAGTATTAAAGTTAATGACCTCATGTCCCCAGGAGGTTATGGCCAAGTGTCTTCAACTGATAATGTGTCAGGTATTCTGAATATATTAAAGGTCATGGTCATGTGTCCTCAGATTTTAAAGGCAATGGTCAGGTGTCTCCAGGACACTGAAGGTCATGGCCATGTGTCCTCAGATTTTAAAGGCAATGGTCAGGTGTCCTCAGGAAAGTAAAGGTCATGGCCATGTGTCCTCAGATTTTAAAGGCAATGGTCATATGTCTCCAGGACATTGAAGGTCATGGCCATGTGTCCTCAGATTTTAAAGGCAATGGTCAGGTGTTTTCAGGTATGAAAAAATCAAGGACAGTGACTACAGTGATGTTGATGTGGTGCCCCCAGGTCATATTTTGGTGTTTTCAGGTCTTACATTTCATGGTCACATTTTCTGAGGTTTAGAAGTGAGATGTCCCCAGATATTGAAGAAAATGATGATGTGTCTCCAGGTGATAAAGCTCATGATCGTGTGCTCTTTGATAGTAACAGTCATGGTCACAGGTCTTGACTGAACTTGTCCAAGTACTACAGGTGTTGTGTCCCCAGGTACTGAAGATATCGAAGATCATGGTGAGCTATCTCCAAGTATTAATTGTCCAGAAAGATCTGGAGAAACCCAGCACTAGTTGGTCTGCTTCTCTCTGTTGGCTTCTCCAGCTGCTGAGAGCATTCTCCATCTGCCTGGGAGCAATTAAAAGCTCTCCTTGTTATTCCTTAATGAGCCAGAAGGACTGGTGTACCTGTAAATCTGTTTGGTGCTATATTTCTCTCCCTCTCTAGCTCCTTGAGTAACACATGAGAACTGTTTAAAAAAACAAAACAAAACAAAAAAAAGATGAACACTAAACACCCTTTTTACACCATAATCCTGCTACTCATTAATTACATTAATAAAGTAACCCTGTTCTAAATAATAACACGCAGTATATTGTATATTAATGGTTACTTCTTATGGGTGCAGAAACAGACTGCTCTGGTTTAGTATATTTTTTTAATTGTTGTTTGAATGTTAAAATGCTGAAGGAATTTGAAACCCAACCCAATATCATAATCATATATTCTCCCTCTGGACAGTGGAAATGTGTGAAAGATTAATGCTTTTCTAACATGCAAGCCTTTCTCTCCACCTGAAAATAATTTACAGTTGGAAAGGATAGTTTAGCCTATCTGGTTTTTTTTTGTTTTGTTTTTTTTTTTGTTCATAGTCTCACTCTTTACACCACACTGTGTTTGCTTAATGTGAAACATATTTGAACACAAGCACTCTGTTCATGGGTGATAGTGTAAACAATTCAGAGATATGCGAGCTGGACACTTGATCATATTTATTATTTCTTCTGTTTTATTTTATACATGCAGTCAGGGCATAAAAATGTGTGTATGTATATATGTATGTGTGTGTGTGTGTGTGTGTGTGTGTGTGTGTGTGTGTATATATATATATATATATATATATATATATATATATATATATATATATATACACATACATACATATATCAATCGTATAATTAGAATTACCACAGTCAGGGGCTTACCTCATCTGTAGAAGGGTTCAGGTTCCTTTAATCCAGGGAGATGGCCGGAGAGGAGAGACTTTGATTTGCCTCATTGTGCCATTCCTGTGTTTTTGTTCTACAGAAACTGGTGGTGGAGAACGTGGAGGTTCTGACCCAGATGAGGACCAGCTTTGACAAACCTGATCACATGGCAGCACTCTTCAAGAGACTCACATGTGAGTGTCTGGGGTGTGTGGGAGGCAAGGCGCTAATAGTTAACTTGGCGTGCCATCATAGCGTTGGCGCTTTAACACCTCGTTTACCGTCGTACACATAGATCAGTGGGGATAAAATTTTGAACTAGGTGACAACTTGTAAATGTGTGCTCCATGGGCCAATGCAAACAGCTTCCTCTACAAATGCATGGCTTTGTAAAAGTCATTGTAGCTTCAAAATGTACCAGGAACTGTGCATTTCCAATTCCTTGGACCTGAAGAAGTCATTCAGAAATTTATTTTAAAAGAGAGTGCTGATTTAGGTCAGGACTGCTGGCTGTTCAGCTGTTAATGTCAGATTTCTTTTGTTTCCTTTAGCTGTGGACAGTGTGCTCAAGAGGATGACCATCATTGGAGTCATTCTGTCCTTCCGCTCGCTGGCACAGGAGGCACTCCGAGATGTAAGTGTGACTCCACACCCTAATCCTTGTCACAGGACATAGGCCACAGTGACAGGGTGACATTATAACTGGAGTCATCTTCTGGGTTTTATTGCAACATTAAAATATATTCTAAATAAAAGTAATGCAGTAATATGTACTAGGCTGGAGACCATTGATACTATTGGTTTGCTGAAAGATTCAGTCAACTGCGATAGCTGTCAAGTTGGATTTAAATGTCAGAAAATGTGATGTATGCAGCTTTAAGATCAACAAAAATAATATCTCGTAGTACGCGTTTCCTGTTAGCATATTTTTATTCTATAGGAACCCTACTAGCCTGCTGTCTGACTTCGGAGCCGAACAACAAAACATCTTTCTCTGATTAAGCTTAGCTTCCCTTGTCCATGCTGCCAAACAGATAAAGTTGTGCTAGCCTTCCATGCATGGTTTAAATTAAGAACATGAAACATTGTCTTGTT